TCAAGTCCACAGGATTTCGCCGGGTGGGTCAGAATCCCCACCTGCTGTCTGTGGTTGTGGGACGTGATCTCCCCCTCCCGTCATCCTCCCCCAGGACCCCCACAGCCCAGCCCCTCTCCAGCCTCCTGTCCCCGCAGGTCCTAGCACGTGCCCGATCAGATCACACCCACTCACCCTTTCTGACTCCAGTCTGGCAGTCTGCCCGTTTCCCTGTTTTGTGACTTTGCATAACCGATCAAGTCTGGACCTCAGCAACCCTAGAACAGAGGTGGAACTCTCTCAGTGGACAGTAAAGGACTCACAGGTCACTCCTCTGGTGGCGTCCTGCGGGGCGTGGGTGACGCGAGCTCTATTGCCTGTGAGGCAGGAGGATGCTGGCGCTGGTGCTCTTGCCCATTCTCTGAAGGAGTAACGGGCGAGAGAAGCCCTTTCATGAGCCTCAGGGCAGAGCGAGGCCTCTGGTGCCTGCAGACGAGCCCACACTATAGAGCCCCCGGCCCTGGATGGAGCCGCAGCGTGCAGCCCTGTGCCTGTACCAGCCCGGGACTCCAGTTGCCTCCTGGTTCCCTGCTGGAAGGATGCGCTGGAGAAAGGCCAGGTGGGGACCGTAGCACGCCCCAGAAAGAGTTGTCAGCAGGACTCTTGTCTTCTCTGCGTTCTCACATATCAAAATGAATTTTGGTCCATATATACAGAGAGGAGAGTCTTACTGTCTTGTAATTACGCCAGTGGGCACGAGAGCATCTCACGGGCACCTCCTGTGTTTCAAGCTGCCAGTTCCGGCACCCAGCCTCTGGTGGGCCATGCGGGATCCAGCTCCTCCAGGCAGTTTGCTAGACACAGGGCCAGCCCAAATTTTAGTCCTCATTTGCTTGGAATTGAGAATTTTTTTCTCATCTCTCTCCTTTACAGGGGAATTCCCAATTATGAATTTAAACTTGGTAAGATCACTTTCATCAGAAATTCACGTCCACTGGTCAAAAAGGTCGAAGAGGTGAGTTTGTTCACTGGTAACAAGAAGTTTCATAGGCCAGAGGTGACAGGGGTTCGCAGCATTAGGAATTAGGTGGTTTCTGTCATTTTCCGTTTCTGGTGGCCTGCTTTTTCCATAGTGCGTGTATTAAGACCACGCAACTTTGGGGTCAGGAATCCCGTCCTGCTCTGGGGCTGCCAGAGAGCCAGGTGCCCGGGGTGGGCTCATCTTCTCTGTGCTTCCTCCCGTGAGACCTTGCGCTTCCAGGCCCTGGGCCACACCTTCCAGCAGAGTGGGCTCGTCGAAGAATGAGGAAGTGAAGGCCGAGCACCCGCAGGCACGGCTGCTCTGCGGCCCCGTGGCCAGGCCTGGCGGGCACCCACACTGAGTGTGTGTGCATGTTGGGGGGACACATTTGCTCCTGGGGACAGCCAAGAGACTGAGCTTGCCCAGAATTACTACGGCAGCGACAGGCACCGGCGTTCAAGTCCCCTGGGTCAGGCCTGTCACCCGATGTCACCACAGTTCTTCAACACCTGGTGGCGGTGGGCACTATGATACCGGTTCAGAGGCCCCTGCTGCTGCCAGGCTCCATGCTAAGTACTTTAAGTGTAGCGACCATTCGGTCCCCACAACAGCCCTGTCAGGTGGCTCCACGTGACCTCCACTGAGACACGAGGACAGTGAGCCTCCCTCAGGCCTGGCACTGAGGACTGCAGGGGAGAGCAGGAGGAGCTGGCCGAGGGAAGATTCCGCCCTGTGGGAACTCTCCCCAGGGTGCTGGGAGTTGGCTCAGGTCGCTTCCTGCCGCAGATTGCCCACCCGACCAGCAGCTGCAGCTGGGATGCAGTCCCAGAGCGGGGCGCGTGTGTCTGGAACACCACCCCTCCAAGCCATCGCTGTCTTGGAGCTGTTTCTTTTCTTTTCTTTCTTTCTCTCTCTTTTTTTTTTTTAATATTTAATTAGTTATTTAATTCCATGTGTTATTACTATTTTTTTCCTAATTCGATGAGAGAGAGAAAGGGAAAGCGAGAAAGCAAGCCACCAGGTCCGGGACTCAAACTGCAGTCGGCAATGTGGGGATCCAGCGCCCTTCACCATGCCACCTGCCAGCCCGTCTTGGTGCTTTTTCTAAAGGCTCAGACCCTCGAGGATCCAGGTGTGGGGCAGAGCGTAGATGTGCCGCGAGCGTGTTCCAGGTGGGCTGCTGGATGGCACCAGTCACCAGCCCCTCTGGACTGCTGAACTCTTCTTTGCTGGAGTTTTGGGGGGTCCAAGTCAGAGGCCACTGTGCTGTCTGCGCCCTTGCCACCCACAGCCACTTTGGTCATACCGGTGCTCATGTTAAGCAGTGCACCCGTGGCCCCCAGTCAGCCCCCACCATAGCTGCTTCCGAAGGCCTCAGTGTGGGCATCCTCCAGGCTGGCTCCTGGCCTGTTGCAGGTTTGTAAGAGGAGGGTGAGGCCGACGGGCACAGATTTATTCAGAGATACTTAAGGAGTATATTGTTGGAGGGGCCGGCAGGTGGTGTGGTGGTTAAGAGCGCTGGATTCCCACATGGCTGACTATGGTTCGAGTCCCAGACCTGGAGGCTTGCTTTTTCGCTTTCCCTTTCTTTCTCTCTTGTCTCTCTCTGGTCAAACTTTTAAAATGATAATAACAAGTGGAATTAAATAAATAAATAAATATTTTTAAAAAGAAGAAGTATATCGTTGGGGCCAGCAGATTGCACAGTGGTCATGATGCTGGACCCCCACGCGGCACACCACAGTTTAGTCCCCGACCTGGCAGCTTGAAAATCACTCTGGGGGGACCAGCAGATGGTCTAATGGTTATATTGCTGGACTCCCATGTAGTCGACCGCAGTTCAAGTCCCACACCCAGCGGCTTTAAACGCTTAGTGGTGGGGCTGCCGAATGCTGGACTCCCACGTGGCCAGCCGTGGTTTGAGAGTCCCACACCCAGCGGCCTGCTTTCTCACTTTCCTCTTCTCTCCCTGTCTCTTTGGTCAAATTAAAAATAAATAATGACAACTAAATAGTTTTAAAACACACACATCGAGTGCATGTGCGTGTGTGCCCAAGATCCCGAGAGGAGAATGGAGGAGAAGGGATTGCCGTATGGCCATCCCCCCTGGAGGGGTGATTTCTCGCTTTCTCTCTTGCTGTCTCTGCCAAATGCATGCATCCTATGGCAAACATCTTTTTTTTAAAGTATAATTACAGCGGGGACTGAAGACGCAGACACAACTCTTCTCTGCCCTGGAGCCTCACTAAGGCCGGGCGGGAGGTCATGCAGTAACTCATAACAAAGACAGTGGATGAGGTGGCAGCTCCACCGAGACTCCAGATGCCGGAACAGGACAGGTGGCGGCTGACTTCATAGACTGTGGAACGCTGC